ATGTAATGGGCACCAGGTGTTATACAAGACTGATGAATCACGAACTCCACCTCTGAAGCTAATAATACACTATATGCTAATTTATTGAATTTAAATAAATTTTAAAAATAAAATGTATTTTGTAAACGACAACAACAAACTCCAATATCTATACTACAGAAACTTATTAGCATGGCACTAAGCAAAAATATAGTAGAAATGGAGTTACATATCAAAGATAATGCTCTTAATATTATGAGTAGTGTTTTCCATCTGTCTTGCACCGGGATACACACACTTTATTGTCAACAGCCTGCCTATAAAGTTAGAAAAAATTACTAAGCTTATCACAAATTGACTGAATACTGCTAAATACTAGGGGTGCCTGGGTGGCTGAGTCAGTAAGCACCTGCCTTTGGCTCAGGTTGTGATCCCAGGGTCCTGGAATCGAGCCCCAAGCCAGGGTCCCTGGTCAGGGGGGAGTCTGCTTCTCCCTCTCCCTCTGCCCCAACCTCCCCGCTCGTGCTCTTTTGCTCTAATAAATAAATAGATACAGATAAATATAAAATAAAGGTCTCTCCGGTAACAGATAAAAGATTAAAAAAAAAAAATCTTCAGAATCCAGAGGCTATGTCTCCAAAGGACTCTGAGTAACTTTAAAGAACTTTCTGAACTCTAAGACATCACATTTAGAGATGAAAGGAGGGGCGCCTGGGTGGCTCAGTCGGTTAAGCATCTGATTTTGGCTCAGGTCATGATCTCAGGGTCCTGGGATCCCAGATCAGGTTCCGCATTCAGCAGGGAGTTCGCTTCTCCCGCTCTCTCTGCCCCTTTACCACCACCCCCGCCCCCATTCATGCTCACTCTCTCTCTCTCTCTCATGCTGTCTCTCAAATAAATGAATAAAATCTTAAAAAAATACAAAGATTATGGCGCGCCTGGGTGGCTCAGTGGGTTAATGCCTCTGTGTTCAGCTCAGGTCATGATCTCAGAGTCCTGGGATGGAGCCCTGCATCCAGCTCTCTGCTCAGCGGGGAGCCTTGCTTCCTCCCTCTCTCTCTGCCTGCCTCTCTGCCTACTTGTGATCTCTGTCTGTCAAATAAACAAATAAAATCTTAAAAAAAAAATATATATATATATATACATATATATATATATATATATATGTATATATATATATATAAAGATTAAAGGAGACACCTGATGACTTAGAAAAAGGGGAATTTACTACTTTATCAGAGATAGAGTACAACAGACCCAAGTCCCAGCAATAGGCACTTGGCTTAAAATATGGCCTGTTACTGAAATAACTGTAGCCTATTCTTTAAACTATATAAAGTTATTTAGGCACTACTGAGATCCCATCCTTCTGAAAGTGGGTATCCAGATTACTACTATCCAGAGTAAGAGATAAATTACCAGTTCCGGAAGGGCTTGATCTTAGCTACTGGCCATAAAAAATTAACTCCAGGGGCACCTGGGTGGCTCAGTGGGTTAAGCCACTGCCTTCGGCTCAGGTCATGATCTCAGGGTCCTGGGATCGAGTCCCGCATCGGGCTCTCTGCTCAGCGGGGAGCCTGCTTCCCTCTCTCTCTGCCTGCCTCTCCGTCTACTTGTGATCTCTGTCAAATAAATAAATAAAATCTAAAAAAAAAAAAAAAAATTAACTCCATCCCTGCCCTTGACAAGACATAGTACCTGCTAATTAGGGGAAACCATGATGTTAAGATTCTAAATATTTGGGTAGGTACTTAATACGTATTGCTTGGAAAGCAGCAGGAAGAAGTACACCTATTTTCCCTATATTCAAACATCTCAGTCCACTCTCCCTGAGGCCTCTGACTTCTGTGATTGCTCCCTAAGCGGACTGGACACACCACGCATCAGTAAGACCAGCCCTGAGTTTCTCTGCCTCGGCCCTACTGGCACTGGAGCCAGATAATTCTTTGCGTAGGATGTTCAGCACCATCCCAGGTCTCTACCCATTAGATGCTGATAGCAACACCTCACCTCCCAGGTTATGACAATCAACAACCTCCAAACACCGCCAAATGTCCCCCAGGTTGAGGGGCAAAATTGCCTGTAGTTTAGAACCACTGTTCCAGCCAAACCACACTCCATGATTTAGTGCAGAGTCGTGTTCTATCTGGTCTTGCTGCCTGATTGCCTCATGGGCCCCCCAACCATTCTGTGAATTCCCCAGGAGCAGAATGATGTCCATCTCCCAAGTGCGCCTGCCCTAGCAAAGGATCAGACATGCAAAAATCTTCAGGAAAGTGCTGACCCTGCTGACTGACCGTCGAAGAACCCGAGGGGCTAGTCCTGCTCCATGCTCCCCTGTGCTTCTCAGCTACAATGGAATAAGCAGTGGCCTGAGGGGAGCCTCTAAGGGTAAGACCAAGGCTGTGGTGATGTGATTTTGCATGACCGCTGAGAGACCTGCCCATTGACCCAGTAATCAGAGCCAGGCCCATAAATCCAGGAGACGGAGAAGTGATAGCACGTTCTATTTTTGTTGGCATCTTGCCCTGGCCTATCCTGGGCCTTCCCATCACCCGCCAGAGCCACACCCAGAGGAGTGGGACGTCACAGGTATTCACACCACTGTGTACATAACCCAGGATTTCCAAATCTCTGATGGAAACCACAGGATCAGATGGGCAGTATGCAAAACCAAGAATGAGACTACATGTCACAGGTCAGTGAAAGACCTTGAGAACGTGTGTGTTGAGCAAGAGAACCAAACAATAAAAATTTCCTGGCCTCCTTGATGCAATGCCCAAGGGAACCGATGTCTGATGTGCAACACGGACCCAGCAAGCTCCACGGCACTTTCAGGAAAAGTCACTGTGCTCTACTTCAGCCATCCTCTGGGTATGGTTCCGTATTCCCTGAAATGCATATAGCTTTCAGCTTTCCCCTGCTGCCCTTCCTCTCTGAGTAAAAGAACAAGACAGCTCAAGCAAGTCACCTCCCAGGACTGAATCACCATTTCCAGCAACCAGCAGGCGATGCCGCAAAGGTCCAGGATTCAAGTTGAGTTGAACCCAACCCAGAGAAGCAACGGCTAGAGGCTACAGAGGCGTGCAGAAATGCCTGAAGCAGGTCGATGTGAGGAGCCCCTTTCAACCCACTAATTCTACAAATGAGCAAGAGTCAAGAAGTGCGAGGGGATGAGAACTAAGAAACTAGTATCTCGGGGCGCCTGGGTGGCTCAGTCGTTGGGCGTCTGTCTTCGGTTCGGGTCACGATCCCAGCGTCCTGGGATCGAGCTCCACATCCATGCTCAGCGGGGAGCCTGCTTCTCCTTCCTCAGCTCCCCACTGCTGGTATTCCCTCTCTCACCATCTCCCTCTGTTATAAATAAATTAAATCTTTTTAAAAAGAGAAGAAGAAGAAAGAAGGAAGGAAGGAAGAAATGAACGAGCGAACAAACTAGTATCTGGTTGTTGGGAACTGGGACAGAAAAAGAAATTTTCCAGCAGTTTTTAAAGTAGCCCCAAATTCTTTCAAGGAAAAGGGGTGGGAAGGGGTGGATCCAACTCGTGGGTTATCACTGGAGGAAGTAAATGTTTTCTTTGGCTCCATCCTGGATAAAAGTTTCAAAATCAGCAGATACAGTCTTCTTTTCCACTAAGTTACTGTCCAGTCCACTGGTTTCTCTTTGCTTTGATAACAGGAATGTGATGAAAAACAACCCACATTCCTCTACAAAAGTAGCTTCTTGCCACAGAGATGGTTGGGGGCTTACAAATCCATCTGAGGGGCGCCTGGGTGGCTCAGCCGGTCAAGCATCCGACTCCTGATTTGGGCTTGGGTCATGATCTCAGGGTTGCGGGATCGAGCCCTGAGTCAGGCTCTGCCCTGAGTCCAAATCCTGCTTGAGATTCTCTCTCCTTCTGCCTCATGCTCTGTCTCTCTCGCGCTACAGTAAACAAATAATAAAATCTTTAAAAAAAAAAATCCATCTGGAAGGGCCAAGGTAAGAATCACTCTTTTCTACCTTTAGGTGACAGCAGGGAACTGAGGGGTTCCATGGAGCTGTCACTTACAAGACTTTTACACATCAGTGCCAATGAAGATTTTGGCTTTGACCTTGGATAGTACAAACAACAAATGTTACCTTGGTGTTTGCTGCGTTATATACAGACAGTTCCCTTCCAAGCAGGGTCTTGCTTAATTTGTCCCTAACCTTGTAGAGAAAGGCTAAGCACACACAAGGGATAGGTTATGTCGATCAGGACTCAATAGGTGGTCATTAGCAGAGTGCAGGGCACACGGGGGGATGGTCTGACAGATGTGGGTGCAGGTGCCACACCAGAGGATACAAGAGGAGGACAACGTAAGTGTCTCAGCCCTGGCCTCCGGTGCCCCCATGGCCACACGTTAGCTGTGTGATCCTAAAGAGAAAAGCCTCCTGAGTTTTGGTTTCCTCATTACAGAAAGGAGCTAAGACCTCCTCCCTCGTGGTGGCTGTCATGACGAAATACCAAGTAACAAACAAACAAAATTATCATGTAATGTTGGCTAACATTCAGCAGGTTAGGGGTTAAATCAGAAGTTGGCAAATTCCCTCCTCCCTCTCCCTAGTGATGGCTCCCATCCTGCCCCTTTTGGACGGCACTTTCAGTGTTGTCTTTGTGAGAACCTAAGACCCCTATCAGGCCCAGGGAGTTGCTGGGGTTCAACATTCCGGCTGTCCTGTTAACATTCAGCATCAGGCCAAGCAAGGGCCTGTAGTACCAGCACCCGCCGTCTAGACTACAAACAGCCCCTGGGGCCAGAAGCCTCTGTCCATGACATATTCCAACACGGGCAGGAGCACCCCAGTTTTGCTGGAGACTACTCATTTCCAGTATCAAGGATCATCTCACTTGGGTGAGGACAATTTGGGGGACAGTGGGTCCCTCCCACAGAGAAAGGCAACATTCTGAGGTGCAAGATACAAATTATTGTCTTGATGGCTCTACAGCCTAGACTCCATGGGCCAGCAGCTGCCATCAACTGGTCCTTCCACATACCTGCAGTGCCACCACTGGGACTGCTGGACTGTGGACAGGGACACCTGAAGAAAGCCCCCTTCCCACACCTGTGAACTCACAGCACCCTTGTCCCTCTCTAATAGCACTCACCACCACCTGCCGAACATTCCAGTTCTCCTGAGCACTTATTTCCCCTATCTGACTGTAAACCCCTTGAGGCCGGGAATAAAGTTTATGTCTCTTTGTATCTACAGCATGCTTTGAATGAAATACATGCACCATACTTTTTTGATATAGCATGTTAATCCTAAGAATCCTCCTGCATTATGAAATCAATGCCTTCTGAATCAAACATGAAATAGAATTCATTCAAATCAGCAGACTAAGAGTGTTCTGCTGCAAATCTTATTCTCTGAAGGTCAGTAATCCATCTGTTAGGTTTACAGGATGGATTCTCTCTTAACCAGAAAACTCATTTTCTCATCTCACCAGTTAATAATAGGATAAGATGTTCAACTGTGGGGTATACCAAAACCCTGGGCCACAGTACCATGCCCAGAAAGTTCCGCAGGTGACTCTCTTCTCAAGTTTAGCTCCTCTAAGCACAAAAAGACTGCTCTTCAGTCAACACTAGCTGTCTTAACTGTCCCTTAGATTGAAGAAAACATACAGCCTAAAGTTTAACTGCCCTTTACAGACACTGAATTCACATCACTCTCCTAATGCTTTCCTCCTTCTCTGTGTCATAAAGGATGCCAGCAGTTGGTAAGCCAAAGTCCCTGTCTTGCCTCAGGCATACCTAGCACTAAGACTCATAGATGACAGTTTCCTTTCTCATCTACAGGAGAAAACAAAAACAACACTCCCAACCTGGTCTTTCTGGAATGCTCTTTCCCCAGATCATATGTCTGGTAAACTCCTACCCATCCTTCAAGACCCAGATCAGATATCACCTTCTCAAGAAAGCCTTTCATGCACACCACTCTCTACCCCCACTCCCCTCACCACCCTCGCACCCCCCCCACTCTCCCCCCACAACCACCCTGCACTTGACTGAGATCCTTTCCCACCCTCTGCCGTACCAGGTCCTGGGCATTCCTGATACAAGCAGTTTTCATGCGACTATTTCCATGCTACTACACCTAGTGGTGCAGGAGGCGCTCTCACACTGTCAGAAACTAGCTCGTCAGAACCACCCAGAGAACTTCATTGGAATGCAAGTTCCTGGGCTCTGGCCCCAGACCTACAAAATCTACTTTGTCATTAGCCCCACTAATTTTTTTTTTTGCATTTTGGTGATTTTTATGCATTTTGAGAACCACTGCATTGGAGCAGGGGCTCCTAGGAGGTTAAAGGTTGTGCTTTATTTATCTCTGCATCCTTTGTGAAAGGTCCATATTCATTACGTGTTCCAAGCTCCTTGCAGCGGCTTTATTCAGTAGATGCTGCATGCGTGAGAGTCTCCCACAGAGTAAATGCAAATGGGCACAAAGAGACAAGACTGTCTTAGCTGGAACCTGGGCTGCCTATAAACAACCTTCGGAAGATATGCCCCAACTAAAACAATGCTCTTCTCACACAGGCACTGGCCAGATCAGTCTAGGTAGTGAGAGAAACTCCAGGCTTTAGAATCAAAAGATAACAAGGGGCAATTAAAAATAAACAAGGTGTACCGGGGTGGCTCAGCCAGTTGAGCATCCAACTCCTGGTTTCAGCTCAGGTCATGATCTCAGGGTCACGGGATCGAGCCCCGCATTGGGCTCCACACTCAGCTCAGAGTGTGCTGGAGATGATCGTCCTCTGCCTCTGCCCCTATCCCTCCCCTGCTCCTGTGTGCACTCTCTTTCTCTCTAAAAGAAATAAACAAAATCTTTAAAAAAGATAGAAGAAAAAACAAAACTTCTATTACCATTTTCCTACCTAGCTGAGCAACTCTAGGCAAATGGCTTCTCTCCCGTAAGCCTCAGCGTGCACTTCTGCAGAAACAGAATCACACTACCACTTAAGACACGGTTGTTATGTGGATTAAGAGAGAAAAAAATGTATGAAAGTACATACGTATTATGCATGATAAAGACCAATAGCATAGATATTTTTGTCATTTTTTTAAAAAACAATTATCACTAAGTCATCTTTAGAAAGCTAGCTTTCCCATAGCTCCAGTAAAGAATGTAGTTACACTGTCAGACACAGAAATGCTAGAAATACACAAAATTACGTAACCAAAAACAGTCAAAATTTTTACAGGCGAAGGTTTCAATCACCGAAGGGCAGAAAGGGGCTTTAAGAGGTGTTCCAGTCCAACCTTCTACCAGGGATCTGTTCAGAAACAAGAGCTTAAGGGGTCTGTCCGATTCCTAGTTTCAGCTCAGGTCATGATCTCCAGGTCCTGAGACGGAGACCCCCCGCCCCCCACGCCCAGGTCTGCACTCAGCCTGGAGTCTGCTTAAGATTCTTCCTCTGCCCCTCCATGCACCGCCCCCACTTGTCCCTGTGTTTGCGCACATGCACTCTCTCTCTCTCAAATAAATAAAGCTTAAAAAAAAAAAAGATTCACCTGCTGTTGATCCTCTGAGATGCTCCCCAAGCCCCCCAACCCAAAACCACTCAGCTGAGAGGGGTGACTGGACGTGGGCCCTCCTCTTCTCGCCTCCTCAATAGACAAGATGACCAGCATACTGGTACAATACGCGACAGCCTGCCAACCCCCAGTCAGCTCACTCTGGTAGGCCTGTCCACTCCGCCCTCCACCTTGGGTCCTCAGGCTTCTAGTTTCCCTGTACCTCTGCGGTCCCATGCAGTCTCTCGCATCCCTCAGGGATGAGTATAGAGAAATAATGGTTACATTTTCACTAAATGCCTACTCTCCACCAGCCAGGGTGCTCATGTTTTAAGCACATTCTTTTGTGAAAACCCTTCAGTAATTCTTCCAGTAGGTTTTATTATTTTCCTTTCAAAGATGAGATTCTGGGGCGCCTGGGTAGCTCAGTGGGTTAAAGCCACTGAGTGGGTTAAAGTGGCTCAGGTCATGATCCCAGAGTCCTGGGATCGAGCCCCGTGTCGGGATCCCAGAGTCCTGGGATCGAGCCCCGTGTCGGGATCCCTGCTCAGCGGGGAGCCTGCTTCCTCCTCTCTCTCTGCCTGCCTCTCTGCCTCCTTGTGACCGCTCTCTGTCAAATAAATAAATAAAATCTTAAAAAAAAAAAAAGATGAGGTTCAGAGCAGTTAAGAGGCCTGTCCAAGACCCTGGGGGAGCCAGGATTTGGACACAGGCCTTTCTGGCTCCCCCGCCCTGCTCCTTCCACCCTACCACATGGTCCCCACGTCTCCCCCGACATCTGACATACAAGCACGGGATGCCTCCCCCAGCACATCTCCAGCACTGCCCCCAGTCCTCACTCCGCCCATAGGTTAAAAGGACAGCCCTTCTTGGGGAACAGAGGAGGTGCTCAAATGCCCCCTACCCCCTGGCCTATTAGAAGCACCAAAGGAACACCGCAGATGAACAAGAGAACCAGAGGTGTGTAGGGAGGGAGCTTTTCAGAGACACTGACTTTTGAAGAATTGGGGGCAACCCAAGGGAGATTTTGCTCCTGCAGCCCTTCTCTAACAGCGAGATGAGCCCAGCCATCTCTAGCAGTGCCTCGCTAAGGTTTCCGGTTTGATCTCTTCTGTGGCTTTCCTCACCCGGAACGGGCAGCCAAGGGTGTGTGTGTGTCTGTCTGTCTGTCTGTCCCCACCCCCTCTTACAGCCGCTGGTTACAGTTACACATTCTGATACAGACTGGCCTCCCAGACCAAAGGGGGTGGGGTGACCAACTCTCAGAAGCCCTGGAACAAACAGTTGGCAACAGCTGTGTTCTCAGCAGACAGCAGTTGGTCTCTTGCTACTGTTTTCTCATTCCACACTAGGTTACAGGCTATAATTTAGTGCCCCTACTTCAAACAGCAGTTCGTAAAGCAACCGAGACTCTGCCACAGGGGTCTGTTGGCTCTGTAAAGTCTGTCAGGAATGCCAAAAGGGGGCCAATCTGACCCCCTAGCCCTCTGAGATATCCGGGACGTCCCTGAACCCCACAGCCCTGACCACATGCCTACAAGGAGAAAAAGCCTCTGGGAGCCCTACCCTCTAGAGGACCCCCCTCTCCGGCCACTCAGAATCTCTTTGGAACCAGAGAACTGTTAAGAAATCTCTGCTAACGAACCAAATCCAAATGGAACAAGAGGAAAAGCAGTTTGGATCAAGAATCTCCCTCTGCTTCTCCTCCTCCCCAGTCTCTCCCCTCGGCTGTTTCCTCTGTGAGGCTATGGAAACAGCTTTATGGTATCTAATGGAAAAATCAGAATGGACGGCCCCGAAACCTTAGGGATGTCGTGGGTTAAGAAGAACACGGTGGCCCTGGAAGTAAGGAGCAACTAGCACACAAGAAGAGAAGACTGGAAATTTCTGCCTGGGAGCTGGCCTGCTCTAGCTAACTGCGTGTGAGACATTTTTGCTCAAAGGTTCCCTCCACCCCAAGCAGTAAGTTGTACAACAAACAAGCTCCCACCCTTCTTCCCTGCCCAGACCCGACCCACGGATAACCCGTTCAGTTACCTGTCTAAGACCCAAAAGGAAAGGCATCCTGTAAGAGCATCGTCCACACTAACGTTTGGAACAAAGGGCTTTGAAAAGTTAAGGTCTTGGAATGAGCATTTCCCCCAGGTGGGCCTGCGTGTTCCTCGGTCCCGGTTAACCCGCCTTCCTGAGCAAAGAAGAGAAAGTAAACAAGAGTCCTGGGACCAGGCAGGCGCTCTCCCTCCTGCTGTCCTCGCTACTCCCCCTGCCTGGCTCCGACCCACCCCCACCTTCTCGTGACATATCTCAGACGCAGCAAAGCCCAAGCTGTCTGCCAAGGGGGAAATGACATCAGTTCAGGCACAGCAGAAAAAACTCCAGACAGCTGCTGTGGAATACTGAGGAGGATGTGCAGCCCTGGACCCTGAGACGTCAGATCCCCTCAGCTCCCCTCAGCTCTGAGCTGGCTGGTGGGGGGTGGGGGGCGGCACAGGAGTCAAATCCCTCAAGCTGCTGAAAAGAGCTACAGTCCTCTGAATAAGGGCTAGCCACGGGAGCTCCCAAGGTATTATCTCTCCTCTTTGGGAAAGGAAATGGAGCCCAATGATTTGTCAGTTTCACAGAAACTTCTCCGCACCCACTCCCACCAGAGTCAGCACTCCCATAAATAACAGTTAAGCCTGGCGGTCCCAAATTTCTCTAGCGATTGAGGCAATCAGCAGGGAGGGCTTGGAGGCACCTTTCCCCCAGCTAAGGTAGGACATGCTACCTCGGACGCTGACCTCTGGAGCCCTCGCGTCTACAGAGTTTATATTTCATAAACAAACTGTGCGTGTACAGGTGCCAATATCTTTCCTCGCTTGTCTTACAAAAGGTACAACAAGTCCCACGGCAGCCTCCAAGTTGCCAGTAAAGCAGATCATCTATATTTAAACCAACTCTCGCTTCTGAAAAGTTCACCACCCTAGGTTCGTCATGCTTTCTTCTCCAAGCACAGTTTATGGAGAAGATGGCTAACAGCAAGCTTTGCCCAAGAAGCAACGGCCCCGGGGCTGGCCTACCCCAGATG